TGGCCATCTGATGCGAAGAATTGACCCACTAGAAACGACTCTGATGCTGGGAAAGATTGAAGGCAGGAGGAGAAGGGGATGACAGAGGATGAGATGGTTGGATGGCATCACCAATGTGATGGACATGAGTTTGAGTAAGCTCCGGGAGTTGGTGATGGACAGGGACGCCTGGTGTGCTGCAGTCCATGGGGTCACAAAGAGTCAGACACAACTGAGCAACTGAATTGAGTAGAATTTTTATGACAAACCATCCTCTCTATTTCCTGTTAGTGTCTGAGAAGGTCAGATTTCCCTGAAATTCTTTAACTTTTCTGAGGTCCTACTATGTGATACTTACTCCCAAATATAGGCTCACATCACATTTTCTAAAGGATCCTATAAAATATCAACAAGAAGATTTTGCCTTCTTCACTCAGTAGTACTTTCCTGCACTGACCTAAACCTCAACTGGAAAAATCTTAATGGGATGAGAATTTTCTTCTTTCTGTTGGTTTCTGGTCAAAAATCTGTGAATTTCTGTCACCCTCAAGATGTAGGAGCATGGCTAAACACTTTTATACGAAGAAAGGAAGGAAAAGGCACAAGGATAAAATGAGGATTTTCTTTTGGTCACATAGACAAGAGGCAGTAGAACTGTATTGAAACATTTTTATTTCTGCTAACCAAAGACAGAATGTTTGTCAATAAACCATTTTTCATCTCCTGGAAGGACTCCAGGGAATTTAAGAAATTAATCCTCACTAGATGTTTGCTGTGCTGTGATTTCCAAGGTCTTTTACCTCTCCTCAGCTGTCACTTACAAGGGAAGTTTTGGTTATTAACCACATAGGTATGCTCACAAATGTGTATGTTCAGTGGGCATGCTAAAAAAAAAACTCATTACAATTATATTACAAATCTTTAGGTGCTTTCAAATTCCCCCCTTCAACTTCAGGGTTATTTCCCCCAAATTAGTAGATTATTTGACAGATAAGACTATATCACCAGCTGTTTGGGTTAACATTTTGAGAACCTGGAGGAAATGCCCATTGGGTGGCCAGATCTAAATTTCAATGCCAAAGTTACCTTTTGTATGGAACATGATGTGGGTATCACAGGGGTACAGGTGAGGGAAGGGACCACCACGGAGCTGGAACGCTCCAAGTCAGGGGGAGGCAGGTGAATTTTGCCCTGTTTGTTCTACTGGGAGCAGGTGCAGCTTTCAGAGGAGGACTGAAGAGCTGGCCAACAGGTCAGGTTCCAGTTGGAACAACAGGATTCACTGGAGAAGACTCAGGGGAAGGACACTGTATCGCAGAGAGAGCAGGAGATGATAAAAATGCCAGCTCCTAGGCAGGCTCAGCTCTCAAGACATTGGTAAAAGAAGCTCACAGATAATCCCCAAGCTGTGTGTCTTACTTCAACCTTATTTCTTTAAACCCACTGTAAATTCCTGGCTCCAGCTCTTCTTTCTATATCCTGAGAGGCATTAAGGAGTAGTGAGAAGAGAAATAACTTAAGGGACAGAAGGTCTGATTCAGGCTAGGAGAATGAAAGAGTGAATTCACAGAAGATATGATATGTCCCAAGAACAGCAGTGGATGTCTGGAACCACCGACAGTACTGAACCCTACATTTACTGGTCCTATATATACATACCTATGTGTGTGTGCTCCGTCACTTAGTCATGTCTGACTCTTTGGGACCCCATGGACTGTAGACCACCAGGCTCCTCTGTCCATGGGATTTTCCAAGCAAGAATCCTGGAGTGATTTGCCATTTACTTCTCCAGGGGATCTTTCCGACCCAGGGATCGAACCCATGTCTCTTGAGTCTCCTGCATTGGCAGGAGGATCGTTTACCACTGTGCCACTTGGGTAGCCTACAAACATATACATAAGACATAATTCAATTTATAAATTATGTATATAGTAAAACAATATCCAATGTGGCAGCACCACTACACTTCTGTTTTGGGCCATTATTAGTTACTTGAACACAATCACTGTGAAACCATGACAGCTGATCTGATAATTGAGAAGGCTACTAAAGGAATGAGGCAGGATATACTGGTGCTGACTAAAAAATTAAGTCACAACCTGAAAGTAGAAAGTTATTTTACTTAACAGAAAATGTTAGGACTTCAAGCCTAGGAGACAGCATCTCAGGTAGCCTTGAGAGACTGCTCCAAGGAGGCAGAGGAAGGAGTCAGGATATACAGAAGTTTGCAGCAAAGTGGGCAGGCAGTCTGAACACTAAAGATTACTGCTAATTAGGGAAAACCAAATATCTCAAGGAATTTAGCACTCTTCTATGTATGGGAAGATACAAGAATCCTGACATTGTTGATGGGTGTTACATCCTTGTTTATTGAGGTGCTAGGAGATATTCCATTTCACATTGGACAAAGGGGTGATTCATATCCCAGGCAGGATGAAACAGGATAGCATAAGATTATATCACAGTACTCAGAACTGAGTGCAATTTAAAACTAATGAATTGGGACTTTCCTGGTCGTTCAGTGGCTAAGACTCTGAGTTCCCAGTGCAGAGGGCCTGGGTTTGACTCCTGGTCAGGCAACTAGATCCCACATGTTGTAACTAAGAGTTTGCATGCCTCAACTAAAGTGTGCAGCAAAAAGTAAAAGATCCTGAGTACCACAACTAAGACCCAGCACAGCCACATAAATAAATAAATATTTTTTAAAAATACAAAAAAAACCCCTCCAAAATGTTTGCTTTAAAAAAAATAAAACTAATGAATTACGTCTAAATGACCTAATATTGAATAGACAGTCCCCGAAATCTATTGCTTCCTTTGTCTGCCTCAAAGTGTACAGTTAAGTCAATGTCCCACTGAACTTCGCACTGGTGTGAAACCATCTGATGTATTTAGTCCATTTGGGTGTAACATTTTAAAAACAAGTAGTCAACCATGTTTATCAGTTTATGTTATACCCAGCATTTCTTATATGTTCATGATATATAATAGTTGATCAATAAATATTTAATAGCCAGGAAAAAAAGCTAATGAATTACTTACTTTGAGCATTTTCTACTTAATCTTTTTTTTTTTTTTGGACCATGGTTGACCACAGGTAACTGAAACCATACATAAGGAGAGATTACTGTCTGTCACCTCAAAAATGCCACTCTGCACATAGGTTACTTTAAATTGAAGGTACATGAAAAACAGTTGGTGAAAGAAGGACACTGACCCTCGTTTGTTCCGCTGAAAGCAGGAGATAAATCTCCCTAAGAAAGGCATACTTCCTGTACCAAGAGGATAGAAGACATTTTACCGTGAGACACAAAAAATTTAGGGCCAAGAAGGATGTATAAACAAACCCTTTTTCTTCTTCAAGACTTACTACCCCTAGTCCAAACCCCTTGGTTATGTCAATTCAACCAGAAACACAAATTTATAGTTTCTTTGTCTGAAAGATACAAAAGCTTCCTGCTCTTGTCATTTCTTTGAGTCTCATATATTTGTGATACTCTAACACAAACACTGAATTTGTTTTTCTGATGTTTATCTTTTTCTTACAAGGGGAACTCAGGGAAGGACCAAGAGGGAAAACTACTTTTTTTCTCCTGCTCCTTCCATGCCACTTTATTACACATTTTCATTCATCTTATCCCTACCGAAACTTTAATTCTTATTTCTTATTTTCCAAATTACACTGAACACAGCTTAATTGAAATTCCCTTTGAATGAAGTGAGCACTGGCCCTCCCAGGTGATGGCCAATTGTTAACCCAGTAACTTCTGGGTAGCCCATCATCCACTTTCATGTAAAATTAACTCCTACTAAAGGACTTGAAGTTTCCCAGTGTCCCAAGTTGCCACATCTAATTGCAGTAACACTTTGACAATCTCATAGGATTGCCCACCTCTACCCACTGACTCCTTCATTTTACTAGTTGTTTAGAATATAAGATTCCACCACTGTCCTTAAAAGATTACTGTTTTTATATGTTAAACTCCATGGGCAGGTCCTGAGTACTTCACATTCCCAGTATTAAAGCTATGCATTACAAAGAGTAGGTAGTCACTGAAGGTTGGGGGAATAAATGATCCAGTGAGTGTGAGGTCCAATTTATTAACATTTATTTCTTACACACTGTTGAAAGAACTAGAAAATCCATGTACATTTCATTTACTTTTATAAAACAAGAACTAAGAGGGATAAGAATGCCTTAATATCCTTAGACTTTCTTCTCTTTCCTTATTGATCCAAACTATCTTAATACTGATCCATCACATTTCTAACAAAGAGTGTATAGCAATGCCATATTCTTATTACAGGTGACAAAGTAAGACGGTTTCACAATTTGTTCTATGAAACAACAAAATTCTTACTTTAAACCTCATTATAACATTAAATGTGTGACCAGTATCATTCAAAAACCTGAAGATTTTGAAGGCAATTAAATCTATATTGAAATAAGCAACAGGGACTTTCCTGGTAGCCTGGTGGTTAAGACTCCATGCTTCCATCACAAGGGCATGGGTTCGATTCCTAGTAAAAGAAAGAAGATGCCACATGCTATGTGGTGTGGCCAAAGAAATAATAAAAATTCATTTAAAAAATAAAAGAAACAATATTTGAATAGTACATACATCAAAAAATAGATGACTAATGAGACCAAAATAAATAAATAAATAATAGAATAAAAAATTAAACATACAAAATAGGAAGCTGCTACTGCTAAGTCACGTCAGTCGTGTCCGACTCTTTGTGACCCCATGGACTGTAGCCTACCAGGCTCCTCTGTCCATGGGATTTCCCAGGATTTCCCAGTACTCCCAGTACTGGAGTGGGTTGCCATTGCCTTCTCCATACAAAATAGGAAGACATAGGCATAAATACTGTCTTCCTTTCAGCCCCACCACAGAGATAAAATTCTACAAACACTAACAGCCTTTTTCAACAATGAATGAAGAAACTATCCCTGACTCATCTAGCTGTCGGAGAAGCTGCTAGCCTTGGCACTAGAACTTGTAGTGGCAACTTCTGACTCAGGCTCTCTCTTCATCTTGCAGAGCATCCTCACACTGAGATGTGAAAGAACTTGGGTCAGTCCTATTAACTTTGGCCAGAAACTCCAGGACTTTAATCTTGGTGGTTTTAGCATGAGCTCTGGGGATCAACAGGAACTCAAATCCTGCAGGATCAGTGTTGGTCACCTGCCAGTATTCCAGATATTTTTCCTTCACAAGATCTTCAGTGATGAGATTCCTGGGCTCCCCAAAGATGAAGTGATTCATCCAAGAATATATTGCAGTCACATTAAGAACTTCCCAGGCTCTGTCTTCGGTGGCACAGTTGCCCTTCATGAAGATCACACTCAGGATAAGTATCAGGATGCCAGATTTGGGCAGGCTCCCTTCACTGTGCTTTATCTCATCATAGGTGAGGCCCAATTTGATGAGGAGGCAATAGCAGTGATTGGTATGATCCACTTCCATCAGATCAAGGCCAAAGAGCATCTCCATGCATTCAGAGGCTCTCAAGAAGATCTCAAGGAAGTGGACTTCACACTTGTTGATGATAATATTCAACGTATCTGCCTTTGTTATCGGCTCTTTCACTTGATACTTAAGCAGCAGGAAATTCACCAGCAAATTCATTTCCTCATCTAGAGCATATATAGGCACACTCCTGGGGTCTAGCAGAGCCAGCGAAGTGCCTGGACTACTCTCTTCTTCCCGGATCATGTAGCCCTCTTCTGATTTGATGGATGAGATGGCTGTAAGGGCAGTGGAAGATGCACAGAAATTCTGACAACCTTCAGGAGTACTGGGAATACCAGCACCAGGATACTCCTTCAAATGGCCAGGCATTAGAAGATAGGAGGGGAGATGGGTCTCCTCTAGCACCTTGGAGACCTGTGAAACCTCCAGGGACTGGGATTTGATGCAGGTCTGAAAGCATTGATCATGGGAGCATCATGGGCTCTCTGGATGCTGAGGCATGATGACTCTTGCTGGTAACAGACAAGAGTATTGCCAAGGAGAACAAAGGGGATTCACCACCTAAGTGAAAGAAAGCACATGTGAGTGGCCTCATCTGGTAAGCTCCACTGTGCTGGCTCAGATAAAAGCTGCCTCCAATGGACTTCTGACAACAGTGCTAAATGGCTTCATGGGTCTCTTGACCTGGTGGTGAATAAGTCTCCAAAAACATGAAGGAGGAAGCGTGAATATTCCTCAGGGTGCAGTCAGCCAGCTCAAGTGGATAATTCTCAGGGATCACAATAGGAAACTGTGCGTGGGCTCTGTAGAGCCACTTCTGTTTGGGAGAGTGTGGTTCTCTTAGTTCTCCCTCAGGTCATCACTTTGTCATTGGACAAGACTTTGGTCACTTCCTCTATACTAACATAAGGCTGTCCCTTTAAGACCAAAATCATATCCCCTAAGACAATTGAGAGGCAAGTGTGGTGTTACCTCCTTGAGAAACCCAACCTGGGTTTTCCCAGAGCAGACAACAGAGCTAGATTCTGTGTATATTATCAGTATGGTTTCAGTGTCCTCCGCATTCTCACTCATGTGCCTTGCTTTAAATCCAGGCAATTCCTGGAATGTCTTTTTATGCTAGTATGGGAATCTTCCTCAGAACAAAACCTCCACCTACTGAGATCTAGAGAAGGGCATTAGGGCACCTGAAAGCCCTGTCTGTAGCCTCTCAGCAGTGCCAATGGAGCAGGGTTGTACTTTTTGTGATCCTGACTCTACTGAGGTCCACTTTCCATCAGTTATCATTCAAGGTCCTTGTCTTGACTATTGGTAGGGCTTTAGGTCTGACCATTCTGCAAACTGATGTCAATCCCTCTGCATACAAGAATGCCTTATCATTCTGAGTTACTCCAGAATCAACTGCGGAAGGACAGTCCATCAACCTCCACAAGGGCTTCCCTGTGCCAATAGCAAAAGCTAGACATTGAGGAGGAAAAAAGGGGTAGCCTCTGCCTATATAACTCCCCGAGCTTCTTAGGGCTGATAACAGGGGAAGGACTCTTGGAAGTCCCCTCCATCTTGGGTTGATTAGTCCCACAATTCTCATATCCACTTCTCAAACTGGATTCTGGTTGCTAATGTGCCCGCTCTATCTACTGCTTGAGGCCTCCCTCCAATCAAGGTTTCATCTTGGTGAAACCCCAAAATGGAAGTGAGGAGAACCTCATGACAGGACATGGAGAGCTGACAAGAGGAGCAGACACTGTGTACATCCTCTTTCCTGGGGTCAGAGGATTCCCTAAGAAATCACTTGGGGTCCTCATCGGGATTCCTGTGTAGTCTGAGATGCCTTCCTGTGATGACATGCCACTGCCTGCCCCAGACTAAGGCTTCCACTCCCTCAGACTTCAATGGCCAAGCAAATCAGCAGCACTTCCAGCCACCCCCTCCCAGGGGCCTCCCAGGGCCAATATTCCTGCAAAGGCTCAGTGATTCACTGCTCTTCTGGGGAGTGGGGGGTGGGGTGGAGGGGCTGGGTGTGTGGGTCCCCACAAGACTCACTCAGGGAACTCTGCTTTTGGACCTGTAGGTCAGGGACCCTGAGCCCCGTGCACAAAAGCCGCCACCTCAATCAGACTGCCAAACAGGAAGCGTGTGGTAGCTCAGACTGAACCTGCTTGTGTCTCCCGGGTTTGGAGTGGAGCTCTCATCAGGTGGGTGCCCTCCTTTCTGGGGCAGGGGATCCCCTCAGTCCTCATTTAGAGGTTCACCTGACACCTGACGGCACCTGGGGTTCCTCCTGTTGCTGACTGGAGGGCACACCTCAGATTCAAGCTCTCACAGCCTCGCTCTCTGCAGGCGCAAGTCAGGGGCCGTGACTTCCTGTGACCCCTGCCCTGGGGTCACCGGGGTCACCAGCAGGGGCGGGCACTGCACACTCTGCACTCAGTTTTGGAGCAGAGGTGGCTGTAGATCTTGTATGCAGTCCTCACATTGGGTTCTGCCAAGCCACTGATGCCTCCTTCTGTTGAGCTGATGTCTTGACCCTCATTGCCAAGGTTGTCTTGCCCCTGAGAACCCTGAAGAGTAACTGAGGGCATGTCTCAGCCAGACAGCCTTGACCGGGGCTTTTAGGGTGAAAAACAGCCACTAGCCCGTCTGCGTGTGATCCTCCTTTATTCTCTGTTGTTCTGTGTTCCCATTCATGGAGTTCTCTTTTTTGGCCCATTTTTCATGACTTAAGGCCTCCTGGGAAATGTCTGATTCCAGCAAAACCTTGATGAATTCACTTACTGCAGTCCTTGCAGTGCCTGGAATGAGTTATGTTCCAGCCTCAATGGAAAATGGGGAAGTTGGAGCACAAGGCAGGCAGGGGCCAGGTCAGAGAAATGTGACAGCCATCTATTTCTGCTTTCACCAGTAAGACAGCCTCTTTCATACTTTATCTACTAAAAAGTGTGCTTTGTACATGGAGGGACTGAGATTAATGATTTTGAAAACCCCTGTTTTGTGAGGTTGTTCACATCTCTATATACAGAAATCATACGCAGATGATAAATATTATCTCTTTATTTGCATTTTTATGTGAAAAGTCTCTCAGTCATGTCTGACTCTTTGCGACCCCATGGACTGTAGCCCACCAGGCTCCTCCATCAATGGAATTTTCTAGGCAAGAGTACTGGAGTAGGTTGCCATTTCCTTCTCCAGGGGATCTTCCCGACCTGGGGATTGATCCCGGGTCTCCTGCATTGCGGGCAGACACTTTTGCTTTATTTTTCTATTCTTATTGTTGTAGCTTTGTTTTCTAGTCCTCTTTAAAACAGTGGCTTAAATATTTTCTTGAATCTCCTCATCTACTTTGTTTTTGTATCAAGGGGAGCCTGCTTGTTAGAATGTGTGGAGTATTTTCAAATATTTTTGTGTGATTTGGAAAAGCTTACATAACATGCTGATTAGTTTTCCCTGATTATATGGTGCAAGTAGACTCTAGATCTGATGCGAACTATGTGGCTTTGGCTTGGTATTTCAGATTGTGATTGCTGATTTCAATTTTATATTTATAATGGGCCTTCTCTGCACTTTATGTTTTGCTGAAAAATAGCCTTTCTCTTCTTGGGTGTTCAAAGTTAAAGGCATGATCTTTATAATAAGTCATTTCACATATAAATTCTCTGCCATTTAGTATAGTACACAAAACAGTACTATGAACCCTATTTCCCTGACACTCATAATAAACATCATCAATAGTTATATGTATAAGTCTGATCAGATCAGTATTTTTTTGGCCAATATGTTCGTTTTTCTGGCAAGAGCACGCCCCAAATGGTAATATATTTCCATTGGGAGTTGTTGTTCAGTCACTAAGTCATGTTCAACTCTTTGCAACTTCATGGACTGCATCACACCAGGCTTCCCTGTCCTTCACTATGTCCCAGAGTTTGAGCCATCTAACCATTTCATCCTCTGTTGACCTCTTCTCTGTTTGCCTTCAATGTTTCCCAGCATCAGGGTCTTTTCCAGCAAGTTGGCTCTTTGCATCAGGCAGCCAAATTGCTGGAGCTTCAACTTCAGCATGGGTCCTTCCAATGAATATTCAGGGTTGATTTCCTTTAGGACTTACTTGTTTTATCCCCTTGTGGTCCAAGGAATGCTCAAGAGTCTTCTCTAGCACCACAATTTGAAGGCATCAATTCTTCAGCGTTCAGCCTTCTTTATGGTCCAATTCTCACATCTGTACATGACAATGGGGAAAATAATATTTTTCATTATACAGGCCTTTTGTTAGCAAAGTGATGTCTTTGCCTTTTAATATGCTATCTAGGTTTGTCATAGCTTTCCTTCCAAGGAGCAAGCATCTTTTAATTTCATGGCTGGAGTCACAATCTTCAGTGATTTTGGAAGGCAAGAAGATAAAATCTGTCACTGTTTCCATGTTTTCCCCAACTATTTGTCATGAAGTGATGGGGCTGGATGCCATGATCTTAGTTTTCTGAATGTTGAGTTTCAAGCCAGCTTTTTAGTCTCCTCTTTCACACTCATCAAGAGGCTTTATAGTTTCTCTTCACTTTCTGCCATTAGAGTGGTATAATCTGCATATCTGAGGTTGTTGATATTTCTTCCATCAGTCTTGATTCCAGCTGTGGTTCATCCAGCCAAGCATTTCACATGATGTACCCTGCATATAAGTTAAATAAACAGGGTAACAATATACAGCCTTAATATATTCCTTTCCCAATTTTGAACCAGTCCATTGTTCCATGTAAGGTTCTAACTGTTGCTTTTTGACCCGCACACAGGTTTCTCAGGAGACAGGTAAGGTGGTCTGGTATTCTCATCTCTTTAAGAATTTTCCACAGTTTGTTGTGATCCACACAGTCAAAGGCTTTAGCATAGTCAATGAGGCAGAAGTAGATGTTTTCCTGGAATTCCCTTGATTTCCGTATCATCCAACGGATGTTGGCAATTTGATCTCTAGTTCCTCTGCCTTTCCTAAACCTAGCTTGTATATCTGGAAGTTCTCGGTTCATGTACTGCTTGAAGCCTAGCCTGAAGGATTTTGAGCATAACCTTATTAGCATGTGAAATGAGCACAACTATGTGGTAGTTTGAACATTCTTTGGCATTGCCCTTCTTTGGGATTCGAATGAAAACTCATCTTTTCCAGTCCTGTGGCCACTACTGAGTTTTCCAAATTTGCTGACATATTGAGTGCAGCATTTTAACACCATCATTTTAGGATATGAAGTAGCTCAACTGGAATTCCATCACCTCCAGTTGCTTTGTTTGCAGTAATGCTTCCTAAGGTCTACTTGACTTCACACTCTAGGATGTCTAGCTCTAGGTGAGTAATCACACCACTGTGGTTATCCTGGTCATTAAGACCTTTTTAATATAGTTCTTCTGTGTGTTCTTGCCACCTCTTCTCAATCTCTTTTGCCTTTATTAGGTCCTTATTATTTCTGTCCTTTATTGTGCCCATCCTTGCACGAAATGTTCTCTTGATATCTCCAACTTTCTTG